GCTATTGTTAAAGGGGTTGAGTTGTTGATTTGATTCTCATCTTGGTCTTTGCTAGTGTATAGCAGAGCTACTGATTTGTGTACACTAATTTTGTATCCTGAGACTTTGCTGGATTCATTTACTAGTTTTAGGAGCTGTTTAGATGAGTCTTTATGGTCTTCTAGGTATACAATCATGTTATCAGGAAACAGCAACAATTTGGCTTCCTCATTACTAATTTGGATGTCCGTTCTTTCTTTCTCTTGTCTGAGTGCTCTGGCTAGGATTTCCAGTACTATGTTGAATAGAAGTGGTGAAAATGGGCATCCTTGTCTCGTTTCAGTTTCCAGGGGGAATGCTTTAAACTTTTCCTCATTCAGTATAATGTTGGCTCTGGGTTTGTCATAGATGGCATTTATTTCCTTAAGTTATGTCCTTTCTACGCTGATTTTGCTGAGAGTTTTAATCAAGAGGGAATGCTAGATTTTGACAAATGATTTTTCTGTGTGTACTGACATGATCATAAGATTTTTTTGTTTTTAATTCTGTTTATATGGTATATCACAGTTATTGACTTGTAGATGTGAAACCGTCACTGCATCCATGGTATGAAACCCACTTGATCGTGGTGGACTCTCTTTCTGATATACTGTCAGCCTCAGTTCACTAGTATTTTGTTGAGGCTTTTTGCATCTATGTTCATCAGGGATATTGGTTTATAGTTTCCTTTTTTGTTCCTGTTCTGGTTTTGGTATTAGAATGATACTGGCTTCATAAAATGATTTTGGGAGGATTCTCTCTTTCTCAATCTTTTGGTAGAGTGTTGATGAGATTGGCACCAATTCTTCTTTGAATATCTAAGAGAATTCAATTGTAAATTCTTCTGATTCTGGACTTTTTGTTGTTGGCAATTTTCTTTATTACTATTTCAGTCTCAGTATTGTTACTGGTCTGTTCATAGTTTATATTTCTTCCTGGTTTAAACTAGGAAGGTTGTATTTTTCCAGGAATGTATGCATCTCCTCTAGGTTTTCTAGTTTATGCCCATAAAGATACTCATAGTAGCTTTGAATGATCTTTTGTATTTCTGTATCATTTGTAATATCTCCATTTTGTTTCTAATTGAGCTTATTTAGATCTTCTCTCTTCATTTCTTGCTTGATCTTGCTAATAATCTATCAATTTCATCTTTTTAAAAAACTGGCTTTTTGTTTCATTCCTCTTTTTTGGGGGGGGGGCTTCAATTTCATTCAGTTTTCCTAGATCTTGCTTATTTCTTTTTTTCTGCTGGGTTTGGGTTTGGTTTGATCTTGTTTCTCTAGTTCCTTGAGGTGTGAATTTAGGTTTTCTATTTGTGCTTTTTCAGACTTTTTGATGTAGGCATTTAATGCTATGAGCTTTCTTCTTAGCACCACCTTTGCTGTATCCCAGAGGTTTTGATAGGTTGTGTCACTATTATCATTCAGTTCAAGCAATTTTTAAATTTCCATTGAGAACCCAGAAAATTTGAGACAGGTCTCAGTTAATTTAGAAAGCATATTTTGCCAAAGTTGAGGGTGTGCCCATGACACAGCCTCAGGAAGTCCTGACAACATGTGCCCAAGGTAGTCAGGGCACAGCTTGGTTTTATACATTTAGGGAGACAGGAAACATCAATCAATATATGTAAGAAGTACATTGGTTCAGTCTGGAAAGGCGGGATAACTTAAAGCAAAGGCAGGGAGACTCTAGGCCGGGATGGTGCTTCTAGGTCACAGATAGGTGATACACAAAAGGTTACATTTATTTGCGTTTCCGATTAGCCTTTCCAAAGGAGGCAAATCAGATACGTATCTATCTAAGTGAGCAGAGGTGTGACTTTGAACAAGGGAGGCAGGTTTGTCCTAAGCAATTTCTAGCTTGAGTTTTCCTTAGTGATTTTGGGGCTCAAGATATTTTCCTTTCATACCATTTTGATTTCATTGTTGAGCCAATAATCATTCAGGAGCAGCTTATTTTATTTCCATGTATTTGCGTGATTTTGAGGGTTCCTTTTGGAGTTGATTTCAAATTTTATTCCATTGTAGTCTGAGAGAGTACTTGATATAATTTCTATTTTCTTAAATTTGTTGAGATTTGTTTTGTGGCCTATTATATGGTCTATCTTGGAGAATGTTCCATGTGTTGATGAATAGAATGTATATTCTGAATAGAATGTATATTCTGCATAGAATTTTGGGTAGAATGTTTTGTAAATATCTGTTAAGTCCATTGTTTCTTTGCTGATTTTCTTTCTTGATGACCTGCTTAGTGCTGTCAGTGGAGTATTTTTTTTTTTAAGTCTGTTACTAGTATTGTGTTGCTGCCTATCTCGTTTCTTGGGTCTAGTAGGGTCTAGTAGGAATTGTTTTATAAATTTGGGGGCTACAGTGTTAGGTGTATATATATTTAGGATTGTGATATTTTCCAGTCGGACTAGTTCTTTCATCTTTATGTAATGATTCTCTTTGTCTTTTTCTTAACTGCTGTTGCTTTAATGCTTGTTTTGTCTCATAAAATAATAGCTACTCATGCTCACTTTTGGTTTCCATTTGGATGGTGAGTATGTGTAAGGTGAGTCTGCTGAAGACAGCAGATCCTTTGAGATCTTATCCATTCTGCCATTCTGTATCTTTTTTTTTTTTTTTTTTTGAGATGGAGTCTGTTGCCCAGGCTGGAGTGCAATGGTACAATCCTGGCTCACTGCAACCTCTGCCTCCTGGGTTCAAGTAATTCTTCTGCCTCAGCCTCCCAAGTAGCTGGGACTATAGGTGTGCACCACTGCATATGGCTCATTTTTCACCCTGTGACCAGGCTGGTCTCTAACTCCTGACCTCAGGTGATCCTCCCACCTGGGCCTCTCAAAGTGCTGGGATAACAGGTGTGAGCCACCATGCCTGGCCCATTCTGTATTTTTTAAGTGGAGCATTTAGGCCATTTGCATTCAATTTTAGTATTGAGATGTGAGGTACTATTCCATTCATCATGCTATTTATTGCCTGAATACCCTGTGTGCTTCTTTTTGTTTTCATTGTTTTATTTATAGGTTCTGTGAATTTATACTTTAAGAAGATTCTATTTTGGTGTACTTTGAGGATTTGTTTCATGATTTAGAGCTCCCTTTAGTGGTTCTTGTGGTGCTGGCTTGGAGTGGCAAATTCTCTCTGCATTTGTTTGTCTGAAAAATACTGTATCTTTCCCTCATTTCTGAAGTTTATTTTTGCTGGATACAAAATTCTTGGCCAATAATTGTTTTCTCTAGGAGGCTAAAGATGAAATTACAATACCTTCTGCTTGTAGGGTTTCTGCTGAGAAATGTGCTGCTAATCTGATAGGTTTTCCTTCACAGGTTACCTGATGCTTTTGCCTCCCTGTCCTAAGATTCTTCCCTTCATCTTAAGTTTAGATAAACTGATGACTATATGCCCCGGCAATGACCTTTTGGTAATGAATTTCCCCAGTGTTCTTTGAGTTTCTTATATTTGAATGTCTAGATCTCTAGCAAGGCCCAGGAAGTTTTCCTCAAATATGTTTTCCAGTCTTTTAGATTTCTCTTCTTGCATGAGAACACCAATTACAATTATTCATATGTTTGGGCATTTAACATAATCCCAAACTTCTTGGAGGCTTTGTTCATTTTTTAAAAGTTCCTTTTTCTTTGTCTTTGTTGTATTGGGTTAATTCAAAAGGCTTCTCATTGATCTCTTAAGTTCTTTCTTTTATTTGTTTGTTTGATTCTATTGCTGATACTTTCCAGTGCATTTTGCATTTTTCTAAGCATGTTTTTGATTTTCAAGAGTTGTGACTGTTTTTCATTTATGCTTTCCATTTCACTGGAGATTTTTCCATTCATATCTTGTATTTTTTTTTTCTCTATGTTGGACTTCACCTTTCTTCAGAGCCTTCTTGATTGGCTTAATACTTGTCCTTCTGATTTTTTTTTTCTGTCTATTCAGAGCTTTCATCTTTGTTTGGGTCCATTACTGGTGGAGCTAGTGTGATCTTTTCAGGGTGTTAAAGAACCTTGCTTTGTCATATTACCAGAATTGTTTTTTCTGGATCCTTTTCATTTGGGTAGACTATGTCAGAGGGAAAATCTGGGATTCAAGGCCTCCTGTTCAGATTCTTTTGTTTCACAAGGTGCTTCCTTGATGTGGTGTTCTTCCCTTTCCCCTACGGATGGGACTCCTGACAGCCTAACTGCATTGATTGTTATTTCTCTTTTGTGTCTAGCCACCTAGTGGAGATACCAGGCTCCAGGATGGTACTACAGAGTGTCTGCAAACATTCTTGTGATATGATCCATCCTCAGGTCTTTCAGCCATGAATACCAGTGCCTGTTCCTGTGGAAGTTGCAGGGGAGTGAAGTGGACTCTGTGAAGATCCTTGGTGGTATTTTTGTTAAGTGCACTGGCTTTGTATTTGATGACCTCCAGCCAGGAAGTAGTACTTTTACCAGCACATCAGCTGTGGTAATATAGGGAACATTAGGTGGTGGGCAGGGCCATAAAGCTTCCAAGATATTATGTCCTTTGTCTTCAGCTACCAGCCTGGGTAGGGAAAAAAATCATCAGATTGGGGCAGGGTTAGGCACTTCTGAGCTCATACTCTTTTTGGGCAGAGCTTGCTGTGGCTGCTGTGGGGTATGGAGGTGTGGTTCCCAGGCCAATGGAGTAATGTTCCCAGGGGGACTACGGCCAACTCTGCTGCATCACACAGATAACCAGGGAAGTGGGGGAAAGCCAGCAGCCACAAGACTCGTCCAGCTCCCATGCAGCCCACAGCCCTAAAAGCTAGCCTTACTCCCACTGCACCCCTCCAGCAGCACCAAGTTTATTTCCAGGCAGCTGGTGAGCAGGGCTGAGAACTTGCTTTAGGCTACTGGCATCCCAGCTGAGAAAAAAAGCTTGCTGTCCCATGGATCTTGCAATAGCAATCCACCTCTTTCAGAGTCTGTGGATTCTCTGGGCTTACTTACCTGGTGTATTTCTACGGTACTTCTTGGAGCAAAAGTTCACGATATGGGTGTCCACACACTGCTCTGTCCTTCTGAGTGGGAGCTGCAAGTTAGTCCTGCCTCCTATCCACCCTTTTTCCTCTAATTGACACTCCTAGTTTTTGAGGCAGAATTTTAGTCTCATAGCATGTGAATAAAGGCATTATGTTATGGTATGAATGTTTGTGATCCCTAAATTCATATGTTCAAATTTGAACACCCAGTGTGATGGTATTAGAAGATGAAGGCCTTTTGGGAAGTTATTACATCATCATAAATGTATTAGTTCCTTATAAAAATAGGCCAAAGAAAACTCATTTATTCCTTCCAAAAACTCATTTATTCCTTCCACCAGGTGAAGACACAGAACCAGAGAGACTGACCTCGCTAGACACAGGACCTGCAGGTGCTTTGATCTTGGATTTCCCAGCCTCCAGAACTGTGAGAGATAAATTATGCCTTTTTTAAATGGCCCAAACAGACTAAGACACATTCCTAGAGCATTACTCTTAATATATGTAGGGTGAAGTAGTTAAGGAATGAACTGTTTTCTTTTAACTGGTAATTTGCTTGATATAGTCCTAATACAATGAATGCCACATGTAATTGGAAGTCCAATAAATTACTTTGAAATAAGTTTACCTGCTATAGGGAATATGCTTTCCCTTTACTATTTCAAAGTTTTTGAGTAGGGACATATCAGCTCTTTACAGTAATGAAGATTTGGAACTATGTCCAGCATAACATTTGTTGGGAGATAATTGTCCATGGATTTCTCACAATTCTGCACATCTTGTGAGCAGAGTCACCAACAATCTTTGTTTTGGGCTATTTTTTTTTCACGGATGTTGGCATAGCAAGCAACATTGGAAGGTTGAGGTAATATCTCCTCCTAAGCTTGGGGGTCATTTAGCTGGGATGCAAAACCAGTGCATGCACAGCATCCTCTTGGGTGCCTCTCTGTCACCCCTCTGAGACTTAGAGAGCAAGAGGAACCAACACAAAGGTGAGGCTCTTGCTTCCTGCTGTGCTATGAGTAATAAAGGCCTTTGTTCCTATCCCAGGAGTCTTGTGTCTTTGGTCAGCCTCCAGGAAACTGTGGTATGCAAACTTGTTATGTTGCGCATAAGGTCAAATCTCAGGCCCTTCAAAATTCTTGACACACTTTTGATGGGTTAAGCAGAACCATGCAAGTTGACGTTTGCCAAGGAAAAAGGAAGTTGAAGGGGCCTATGACCAAGTTGCCTTAATCCCCTTCTTTGTAAATACCCTATACACTTGTTTTTTGGTGTGTTTTCTGTTTTTAAAATGGCCAAGAAAATTTGTTCTTAAGGAGTGCCAGGTAAATAAAAAGGGAGAGTGTTTGGATAAGGTATAGAAGAAAGCTTTGCTAAGGTGCAGCCAGCTCCCAAGCGTGCAGCTCCAGCTGTCAGATAGAATGGCAAAATGTATGATTCCTAATGGAAAGAAACATAGGCTTTTGCTCAGTAAATACCTCATTCATAATTTATTCTCCTCAGTCCCCTTTTTAAATGGAGAGTAAATATAAGTTTTATTAGTGATTTATTTTTACCTAGCAACCAACAGTGCATTTGATATATTTTTCTATAAAATCAAGAGGTGATTTTTTAATTTGTTTCTTCTTTCAAATTTGGATTAATTATCCCTCAATAATTCCTCTTTACTGAACTTTATTCCACCCTTTATTCATCTGCAAGGTAGAAAAAACTTAAGAATTTGAAAGACAACTTGTCAGTTTGACATATCAGATAAAGCAGCTAGTCAACCTATACCTTTTATGTTTCCTTGTGTGACTAAAACGTCACAGTCACTCCTTCTCTTTTTTACTTATCACAGAATCTCAAAATAACCAGAATCCATCAGGTGACTTAATATGCCTAAAGGCAATCTGTGTAATAGCTAGTGGATTAGATGGGTATCTAAAGTTTAGAAACTTGGGTATCTAACAACTTGAAAATTCAAAAATACTTAGTAAAATATATCAACAGACTCAAGCTCCACTGTAAACAGGTTACACTAGCCAGAGGGATCTCCTCTGGTCTGTCATTCTGAAAAAGTTGGACCATCAACAAATGGGCACATAGCTTGCCCAGTTTCTTTAATATCCATCAGGACAAGAAATATTTCAATATATTTCCTTCTTAAGCTGCATTTAAAGCAAAATTAGTGGTACACTACAAAATTAAAATAGTTACGATTAAAGAGGAATAATTTAGAAATTATAATCTTGTCATTTTGAATTAGTTAAAAGGAAAACCAAACATAGCATAAAAGTTATACAACCCTTAAAAAATAGAATGGTCCTGGATACCACTGTTGACAATCTCCCTTTTTGATGATATTTGAATATGCTTTAATACTTGGATTGTTTAAACCTATTTTTGGTTGTTTTAGAATCATTGAGACCAACATGTCATCACTGGAGGTCCTGCTGTTACAACAATCAAGAGTTGGTCAAGTTTTGACTCCAATTAGGAATATCAAGTGTGTGTGTGTGTGTGTGTGTGTGTGTGTGTGTGTTTTAATCTTTCTCTTTTTTGTTTGCAAACCCCAAGAATTTCTGTGGGTTATTCAGGGTTTGATCAGGAAAAGAGGACTTACAGTATAGGCATACAATAGGGATATATTACAGAGATTTGACTTTACACAAATGTGGGGGCTATAGACACATCTGTGAGGCTATTGCTTTTCTATCTGACTTTAGTAGCCAAAGTCCTCAGAGCAAGTAGTTTGGAAGGAAAAATGGATACAATGCAGGGACTCATGGACAAACTGGATTCACAGAGGCTGATCTGGAACCTGTGAGAATAGAGAGGCACCCACACGTGTCTCTCATTGCTTCCCAGATTGCAGCGTCAATGACAGAGCTTCCCGCAGGACAAGCTGGTGTCCCCCTTGCAGTGCCGAGTGCACACTTGGCCCAAGTGTTGGAGAAGCTGACTCAGGTTTCCTAGCAAGAGCTGAAGAAGCTATGGGTCCATAGGTGGGCTGGTGTGAACCAGGTGTGCCACAGGTGAGTGAGAATGTCACTGAGCCACTGCAGCCCCACACACCCTGCACTGACCTCTGAGTGAAAGAACATGGCTACTGTTTCACTTCCAACTTCTAAATCTCATGCAAATGCACGTTTGGTTCATACCAACCTGGAACAGTGCAAAAGTGCAGAGGAAGAAATCCTGGAGAAAAGATGTTCAGCTTAGCTAAACTGACATACTTCAAAATCCACCACAAAGCATCTAACCAGTTTAGTCTTTGTCACAATTCAGATAAAGGCCAGATTTCTGTGTCTCTCAAGACTATTTAAAAAAGCCTACAAAGATAAATGGCATTTGAACATTTGCCTGTTTCTATCTGTACCAGACACAAACAAAACCCTTATATGTAAAGCAAGCCTTTTGCTCTACAAACTTTCTCTAATATTGATTTGATTTATTCCATGATCTTGCATTTAGTGAAATTAAACTGAGTCTCAGGTTTTATTAGTTAGAGTGGAGGACATGACACAAATTAATTTCGACAAAGTACTTCTCCACCACTAACTATGTAACCTTGAGCAAGGTTCGCAGCCTCTGTGAGTTTTCCTTTTCTCTCATTTATAAAGTAGAGTACAGAAAAGTACCTGCATCTAGCTCCTTGTTTTAAGAATGAAGCCTGAGAATGTATGCCAAATCCCCAGAGGGTTATGAAAAGTTAGCTCTCGTTCTTACCCTCCTCTTCCTCATTACCATTTTGTACAACGTAAACAACTATAAAATATAAAATTTGAAGTCTTAGGATTAAGATTTTGAATTCAGACATAATAATCCTTTTATTACTTTTTCTTTGGTTTCATGTAAAATTGTATTCTCACTTTTCAAATGAACTAGAAATGTAATATTAACCAAATGTTAAGAAGTCCCTCTGCGAAGTCAAAATTAGGATAAATTATTGCCTCTCTACTATTTTTTTTTTTTCAAATTTAGAAGATTCTTGTGAGTCTTTGGTTTACAAAAATCTACCAAGTTTGAGATTGGGAAATAAGACCAGCAGAAAAATGATTTTTTTCCGATTTAAAAGGAGGAGGACTTTTGCCCTAATCTCTAGCCCTGCCACTATTCAGCAAAGGCAAGAAAGACAGAGAACAACTGTAGAATCAGGAAAAAATGACTAAAGACTAGTGTGTTGTGTGTCTGCCCACCAGAAGATTGCAGCTCCTGCTCCTGGAAGAGGAAGCCAAAAGAATCTTGTATTGGATTCCTGTTGCTACTGTACAAATTACCCCAAACTAAGTGGTTAAAAGCAACCAAGATTTATTATCTTAGGCTTCTGGAGATCAGAGGTTTCAAATCAGTCTCAATTGGGGTTAAAGTCAAGGTGTCAGCAGAATTGCTTTCCTTCTGAATGCTTGAGGGGAGAATCTATTCCTTGCCTTAGCCAGCTTTTAGAAACTGCTTGAATTCATTGGCTACCCATTCCTCCATCTTCAAGGCAACCCCTGCTTCTGCTGCCATTATGTCTTCCCTTCTGGGGCTGATGCTACTGCCTCCCTCCTTTAAGGACTCTTGTGTTAACATTGGACCAACCCAGATAACTCAGGATGATTACCCTGTCTTAAGATCCTTGAGCTAACCTCATTTGTAAAGTCCCTTTTCCCATGTGAGGCTTTACCATATTCACAGATTCCTGGACTTAGGGAAGACTCTCTGTTGGGCCATTATTCAGCCTGCTGCAGACCTGTAGCAAGGGGAGCATCTATTATCTAGAACAAAGTCATTTGCAGTACTGGAATCTAACCCCACTTTGACTTTCCAAAAATTTAGTTAATCTCTCTACCATCTATAAATACCTTAGTGAAAGCATTTGAGAGAGATAAAAAGATGTTCTTCTATTTGTGATTGGATGAGCTATCAAACAGAGACAGCATGTATACAATCCATAAACTAAAGTCATTCAGCAACTAGATCAAAGAGGCATTTGATGCCAATAATGACATAGAAGGTGAGTCAATTCCCTTGTTATAATGAGGAGAGTGGCTGAGAATTTGCAGAAATCATGGAGCTTTTTGGACTGTCCATAAATCATGGAATGAAATGGGTAAGAACCAAAGTACCCTTCTCATAATGGGTCACATCAGTTGCTACTCGGGCTGATCTTGTATGTGCTGTGTGGAGACTCTTTGATACCCTGAGAAGATTTAAAATTAAATTTGGATTCTTAATTTGTGACTCTGGAAGCATAGAAAATTAATTCCTCAAGTCATTTTTTTCTCATTTGCAAAACTGGAATTATAAAGGCTATTATAAATAAGTGCCTACCATCGTGCCTGCAAGGGTAGACTTGGAGCTGTTTCCTTTTTATTTTGTACTATGAATGGACTTTATAATCATCCCCTTGAAGCATTAGTAGAAAATATAAGTGCAAGCTGGTAAATTTAAAATTACATAGAACTCGAAGTGATTGTGTATTATTATCTATAAATGTTAAAATGAAGACTCCAGTTATTGGATATGTTCCCTCTTATTCATATTTTTAACATATCCGTCATGTCCCCATACTCATTTTTTATATGTGTAGATAATAGTGTAATCTGGGTTTGTAAAAACAATTTTAATGCCATTTTCCTTATTACAGAAGTAATAGTTAGAGTGGAAAATTTTGGATTTACAGATAAGCAATATCAAGAAAAGAAAAATCAGCCAAGGTCTCACTGCTCTAGTCATTAATATTTTGGTTTATTTTATCAAAAATAAACTAATCTCTCAGTCTCTATCTCCATATTATATATGCATATGTACATACCATATAAGTACATACATGTTGACTCATATGTTTGCAAGAGCTTACCAGATAATACAGGCTGGGGACTAAGTTTACTGATAAATAATTTTCATCAGTTTGTTTAAAAAGAATTCTGTCATTAGCGTTATATACTAAGACGGGCCTGGTTCGGCATTGCAATATGGGAATATGCCTTGATTCATCCATAACGAGGTTTTTATTTGGCTTCTGATAAACTGTTGGTTTTCCTTATTTTATGCTATTGCTTTCCTTTAAACAATTATTTTACAAAACAAATAAAAATTCCACTTTGTTTATAAACTCTACCTGAGGCTGTCTTTATAAATTGGATGATTTTGCCTTGTTTGGGTTCATTAGAGGGTCTGCATAGACTTTGAAGCAGTTACACTATTTATCTATTTACATTAGAGTGGAACTATCTTGGACAGAGTGTGTATATGGAAGTTTCTAAATGTTTACTTAAAGATGGTGTCCATTCTCAATTCTTTTGATCTTATGACTAACTTCCTTCTTCTGAGACCTTGACTTTGAGGAATATTTACCAATTTTCTTCAATTACATGATGACTCATAAGATACATCAAACCTTAAAAAGAATTTCCTTGCATTGTCTCATAATCCGTTGCTTTCAAATTGTGTAAGAAAAGGTGGCTGTTTTTACTAACTTGCTATAAAAGATTTTCTTTAATTTTAAATGGAATGAAATAGTAGCTACTTTGAAAATTTTAATACCTTTGTCATAAATACCTTAAAGTGTTTGCTGTCATCAAAGTCCACCAACTTTTCATCTCACTTATCTCCTTTTTACTACTAATCTGATTATTCCAAGCAGTGGTTACAATAGATTAGGAATATTTCGTGCTAAAACAGAAGACCTAGTTGAAATGTATTTTATAAATTTAACAAAGTTCTAAAAGCAGAGGCCATTATATTCCTTGGGGCATTTGAAATTCCTTGAGTGGTCAGATGGGTGTTATTTGGGAAGGATTTTTTTTTTTAAATCTCTAATCAATCAAATGGTCCCTGACGGGTTCTTTGAAAGAACAATTTAGAATTCTCTACAAAACCTCTCAATGATCAGTGTTAACATTTGTCACCCACTGAAAAGTAATAAGCATTATTTGCATGCTATGCTTATGTTATCTCCAGCTATCAGACCCTACAATAAGACTTCACTGATGCCCTGTCTGACCTTAAGATGTCATTATGAAATCATGTAATCACCCAATTAATTTTAAATGGAAATTTTTTTAGCTGGTTCTAAGTTTTTGCTGGTAAGATTCGTACCTTTCCTCTCAGAGCTCACTGATTTCATTACCCTGTATAAAGACGTAAGTATAAATATTTTACATAGTTTTATCCCTTGGGTCTGTTATTACAACGTTCGATATTTATTATTTATTTAGTGTATTGTGGTTTTTACATTAATGTACTCGCATATTGGCTCCAGGAGTATCATGACCTGAAGAAACAAAATAAGCTAATATACTGAAAGCTCTCTTATTTCAGGGTTGCCTAATTAAAACCAATTTAAAGACAGAAAATAAAATTAATGATTATAGCAGGATATAATACATATAATCGTGGAAGGTTGCTCAAGATTCCCTGGGAAATGAGGAGAGGCATTCAACTCAGATAGGGAAGAATTCCAGGAAGTAACACTTGAGCCTTTGATTAACACTGCTAGAACTATATATGCACACTGAAAAAAAATACAAGTAATACAGAAGGGTCTAAAGCCAACAATGAAAAAGGATATTAGTGGAAAAACAGATGGAAACTATAAAGTTTGGGTTCGGTTAATAGCAATCTACCCATGTTGGTTTTTTTAGTTTTATTAAATGTATTGTGGAAATGTAAGATGCTAACAATGGGAGAAAATAGGTGAGGATGTATTTACAAATGCTCTGTACTGTCTTTGTAAATTTTCTATAAATTTAAAATTATTCCAAAATAAAAAGACTATTTAAAATAAGTGAACAATAGTTTTTTTCTTTCACTGACAGATCATAATAACACACTGTTCTATCTTCACCCCCAACTATATAGAGTTCACTTTCAGATCAATACATATGAATCTACCTTACTTTAAAAATGCCTGTAAGTTATTCCATGAAGCTAATTTACATATCTCAAAGTCATTCTGTTATCTCCATAGATAACTGCAAAAAGCATCTTTACAAATATATTCTTGTTTAAAATTGCCAAAAAATAAAAATATTAACATTTTAACGTGAAACAAATGTTTAAAATTGCCAAAAAGGAAGAGGAAAAATTCTTTTTCAAATGGTTGTTGGAGTTTATAAACCTACCAATATTATATGAGAATGCCTTTTTTCTCATGTTCTTATTAAAATGGATATTATTATTTAAAAATATTGCATTCTATTAGAAAGCAGTTGGTATTTCAATTGAGTTTTGATGGGTGAACGAATACTAGCTAGGCAAATGGGAATTTGTGAAATAATAGGTAAGATAAAATGATGAGCAAATGTATGGTGGCACAGAGGAAATGATGTTCTCACAATATGGCATTTTTCAGAAAAGCTGGAATTTATCATAACACTGAGAATCAACATCATAGAGTTGGCTGCTATCATCATGAAATGTTTGCATCCCTCCTAAAGGGATGAACCTTGAAAAGTTAGAGATGATAGAGTCTTTATAAAGGGAAGGCCATATTCAGATTTGCACTTTAGAAAGATCTCTATGAATGCATCGCAGGAGCCTGGCTTAAATGAAGCTAAATCTGGAAACAGGATAATCAGTTAAGAGGCTTTTAAGATGATATGATAAATAACAGTCCTGACGCAAAGGAAGCGCCTTTGAGAGAGGCATTGGAGACAGAAGCTTCAGGACTTAGAGACTGATGAGACCTGAAGGGTAAAACAAGTGGAATAGACCAGGTTAAATCTCAGTCCCATCTTTGGTGTCAGTGCCAAAATTAGAGACTGTAGGGAGAGGAGCAGGCTTGGGAAAGAGATGGTAAATTCTTTTTTAGACATATTTCATGAAAGCTGCCTGTAGGACTCAAAATTGAAAAGTACAACGGACAGAGAGAGAAGCAGATTTCAAGCCTAATTCTGGCCCAGAGATACAGATTTGAGAGTTATTAGTGTACGAGTGGAAGAGGAGACTGTGTCATTATTGACGTTGGAGTGGATATGTCTTTGTTGTGGGGACTTCTCCTGTGCTCTGTGGGATGGTTAACAGCACCCTGGTTTCTGCCCGCTGGAAGTCAGTAGTTCTTTCCACACTGTAACAACAACAAAAAAATGCCTTTAGATATTGCCGAGTGTCTCCTCAGGCAAAAGATTCCCTGGTTGATAACCACTGGACTGTGTGATGTGAGAAGGGAAAAAAGATGATTATGGATCCCTGGGGAACTCTGGCATTGAAATGTGTCATTGATGGTGCATGGGAGAAATCCAGGCAGGTCGATGTAAACAAATAAGAAAAAATAGGTGGTACCATTGAGGACAGGGCACGAGATGAGACAAAAAGGAAATAGACATCAATGTCAAATACAGATAAGTCACGTCAATTGAAGACTAAAATTCTTAACTCCATGTGGCAATTTCAAGGTCACTGGTGACATTAACAAGAATAGCTTTTTGGATGTCAGCTTCGGGTGCCACCTGGAACCAGTTCTCAAAATTCAATACACTCTTAATTTTTGAGTGATGGCTGTCTCACTGTTTCTTGGGGGTTTGAATGACAGTTCTATTAACTCTTCTGACCCTCACTCAGCCTAGGTATTTTCCTTGAGAAATATTAAAACCTTTCTACACATTTCACTCCTGGTTCGTTTTTGGATTTAAACTTTTAATAACCAAATGTCTTTCTTGTTTTAACATGACGACTCTTTTAGTCTCCATTATTGTAGTCCCCTCATCCTAAAATACCCGGTGGTGTGTCCTGATGCAGCTGGAGTGGCAGACATTATCTTTGCCAGGAACCTTTCTTCCCTCTTCCTCTTACACCAAATTTAGATGACTAAAAACTCACCACTTTCAGTGTGAGTTCGTTTCGGTGGAGCACTGGAGCTGGCTCTCACAAGATCGAGGGCTGATTGTTAAATCTGCGGTAATTTTGGAGCCAGTTGTTAAATGCGGCCATTCTAAATAATTGTTATAAAATGTGACAATTCATTTTATAACAACAGTGGTAAATATTCAGCCCACATTACTTTTAAATTATTTTACTATTATCTAAGTTCTTTAGGTTACGTATATTATATCGCAATGGTTAAAGGGTCATATGGTGTGGTACTTCTGTGCATTTCTTGTCAAATTTGTGTTCAATTATGTCAGATTGGTGGCTTGAAATTAGCCATGGTGAAAGTCTATACATTGCAAATATTGTCAGAGCCTGATAATTTTTTAACTATATAGACTGTATAAAGTAATTGATAAAATACTATAATACTGATTAAACTTAAAAGTATCTTGTGTTTGTAGCTGTTACATTGTGAATTGAACACACGGTAAAAATATTCTGGTATCTAAAGACTAGTATCCAACCAGCAAAGAAGTCATTCAGGTCCGTGATGAATGAATGAAGTTATAACACATATCTCTATTGTTTCAGCGTCATATTATTCATTAATAAATTAACATTCATATTAGCCAAAATTCAGTTGGAATTATGCTCATTTGTTAATTGCAAAACTAGGTTAACTATATAAGAATTTGGCAAAAAATAAATAAGCCATTTTGTGTGAATAAATTAGTCATAAGAAATTTACAATAAAAAATAATATATATCTCATTTGCAAATTATATGCTGCATATCCTTTATATCAGTTAAATTTATAAGGGACTTAATGTTTGTATATCTCTCTTTATACATATATTGTTCATAGACACTTGTTTTTCAGAAAGCGAACTATTAAACATTTGCCAAAATTTCTTTCTTACAAGATGTTCCAAATTAATTTCCAGGCGCTGACTTTTAAGGTCAATGGGTACCAAAATCTGACATAAATATGGTTTAGACCTTATCAGAAAGTATTACTATGCATTGGTATTTCTAAAATTGGTCTCTTCTCTGTTCTCACTACTGTCCTTGTCCCACATTTTATCATATCTTTACAAAATTACTCCAGATTAGCCTTCCTGTATCTACTTATCATCCAATATTTATCTTGCAATAATTTAGCCAATTTTTATCTTGTAGAATTCACATTGGTCTCTGGATTTATCTTTTCTGATCCTTTTCTGTGACATTATTGCATGTGGTTTGAATTTAACTGTACATACTGAAGTTCTACACATTTTGGTCTCATTATGGAAGTTTTTTCTTATATACTTCTGTTTTTTCTCTCTCTAGTGAGTGTAGTCTCTCTAGTCTCTGGGTGGGACTCATGACTGAAAAAAGGTTTTCTGTTTGTAGGTGTTGTCTATACTACAGTCATTCATAGGCATATTTTTCAAGGGCAGTAGAAGAGAAAATGATAGACTTATTCAATGTTTCAATGGATTAGCGTCCCCTAGTTTTGAACATAGTGGAACAAAATCACCTGGAAACTTGGGAGAGTCTAGGGTGACCTTTTTCCCTTTTTCTGCATCTATGTTCAATTTATCTTTTTCTGTTTTCTTTGTTGAGTCATACTGTTAAGCAGATAATCCTTCACCAATATTCAGCCCTCACATCCTGGTCCAGGCTGCAGAATGTTGTTAGACTCTAGTAAAATGGTGGCCTTTCCTTTAAAAGCAATTATCATCTGTCATAGGCTAAATTTTGTCCTCTTCCCCCTATGCCAAAGTCATATGTTGAAGTCCTAATCCCTACTACCCCAGAATGTGACCTTATGTGAAAATAGGTTCATTTCAGATTTAATTAGTTAAGATGAGGTCATACTACAGTAAGGTGGGTAGATGAACCAAAATGGCCAGTGTCCTCATAAAAAGTGGAAATTTGGAGACACACACACACACACACACACACCCTGCCCTGTGGACATGAAGGCAGAGGTGAGGTTGATGAGTCTACAAGCCAAAGAATGCCAAAGATTTCCAGAAAGTCACAAGAAGCTAGGACAGAGGCATGGAATAGATTTTTCCTCATAGTCTACAAAAGGAACCAACTGTGTTAATACTTTGATCTCTCAATCTTTGCCTCCAGGATGATGAGGCAATTAATTTCTTTGTTAAAGCCACTCAATTTGTGGTACTTTGTTATGGCAGTCAGCCAACGAGTGTGTCATCTAATTATAATACTATCATTGTAACTTAATAACTTATATCACACATATAGTAAAAGTTTTTTGAGAGCAGGTACTGTGTCTATTTTACTCATAATTGTATTCTTTGTGTCTACCATAGTGCATGACATATACTAGGTGCTCAATCAAAATTGCTTAATTGAATGGTTAATTGAATGAAAATCCTCTTCCTCAACAAAGTTTACTCTTATAATGGTTAGAAGAATTTTAGTTGTAAACTTTCTATCAGATTTTTTCTGGTTGCAAATTCAAGGAGATGCAGAATTTCTTCTGCAAATTTGTCTTTGAGATGGAAAAAGGAAGGAAACCTCTTAGTTGGGTGGATGTATGTGTCTGGTGATAAGCCTTCTTTATTTTCACATAGGCTAAATTTACTCATTTTTGGCCATAGCAACAGAATGCGTGCAAAAGTCGATAGAGTAGTGTGTGGAATGTGAGGACAGCGCCACATGGGGAATTGTGTGGTACGTGGTTGATATGATATATTTTAATGTTTAATTTAAGAAGGTCTGATTTTGACAGTAGGGTTTGGTTCTAAAAATAGAAGCAAATGATAAATATGAAATAGAACTGTGTGATACTGAAACAAAGGAAAACAAACAAACAAATGAATGATAGCCCATTATGTTGTCTTTATATATAATGCTTTTACACAGAACAATAGCGTTTCATCGCTCTCATTTACCTAATCTGCATTATAAATGCATATTGTCATTTTACATGTGAGATGTGAGAAATCTCTCTCATTTGTCTCTATTTCAGGCTGTTTATTTTAGGTAATTCTTTTATTGTTGAGTCCATTTTAAAGATGCTCTTTGTTAGCTATTTTTAACCTTAAGTAAATAGAGTATTTAAATCCTCACATGGAGTTTTGGCCACAGGTTGATTTATATAAATTGTAGCATATGGATTAGCATAAGGAATAAGACCAAAAAAATCAGAGTTCATTCCAGAGGAGCATATGTCATTTTAGTGTTTGGTGTCATGTACGTTAGCTAGATAAAATAAAATTGATTCCAAAATATATTTTCTAAATACATATATGTTAGTTTATTTTTAAATAGACTTTTCTTTATGGTTATAGTTAATATATACATCCTTTGTATTGCTATGCTAATTAAATGCAATTATTTCCCCATCACCCCAGCATATCTATGTAATTATGACATAATTTGATAAAAATACATTTAAGCAATATCTATAATAACATATTTTAGTCTTCCATTACTATAAGCTTTTGAATATGGAGTCATGCAAATGAATTCAATTTTACACATTTGGAAAGAGAATAAGAAAGAATTTTCTAGTAAGTGCATACACACGAACATACATAACAACACAGGCATGCACTCATACACACACACACATACACACACATACACACACACATACACATGCACACACACACACACACACACACACACACACTCGAACCAACTGTCATGAAATCATTGAATCAAACACAATGCTTTGGAAGCTACATTTGCCAAGTTTAAACTAGCTGAAATTTTATGCTTTTAAAACAATCTTTTAGGGAATTTAGTTTATGGAAGTTAATTTCTAATTCTCCAAAAGAATTTAAAAGAAATTTAAAAATTCAAAGGTTTTCTTGAACCTCATAAAACTTTGCATAATCATAGAGAACTAAAAGTAGGTGCAGAAGGGAGAAAACAGAAAGACAAATTGTCCATATTCAAATATAAAATGGTCCAGCATTTTTGGAAATGAAGAATGACATGAAACACACACATACACATGAAACTAACCATGAAGTTTAATTTTGTTCTATTTCTCAGGGATAGATTAAATGTTTAAAAGGAGATGTTTCAAAATGGAAAGACTTTTACAAGTGAAACACCCATACTCTTAAATATTACTAGTTTTTTTTCTCTTCTTATATTATTATAAGACCCAGTATAACAAAATAAATTTTCTCCTGAAATGTTATCCTGAAATTTTGAAAGGACAGAGACTAGAAAGATGTACATTTATTTGGAGAATCATTTGACAAATGTAAGCATAGCAAATGAAGTGAGATATCTCTGTATCATTCTAGAGCTAGAGAATAATAGTACCCAAAATAAAGAATTATTGGCATTTGTGAGCAAAAGAAAGATGACATGCAAAAAAATGAAATCAAGTTATTCCAGTTGACCTTTATGTTGGGAACTCAGAAGTGGCCACAGGTTTTGTAAAAAGGTCTGAGTAGCCAAAATAAAATTAAATATTTCTGTAGCTTTTAATGTTGATTCCATCAATCATATGATGTCATTTAGAAAATGTCATAATAATCACTGTGCCAAGTTATAACAAGGTAAAGGCTTTTAAAGGATGACAAAGTACAATGCACAGGAAAATTCTTTAGATAAATAGTAGCTAATTGAGATTAATACAAAATAAATAATTAAAGCAATATTATTTTGCTTTTATTGGCAGTAAAACAGAAAAAAGATCACACACTTTCCATGGGGAGCACATGACATGCACAGGAATGTAC